AATTTATTTTCCAAAAACCATCCCAGGCAAAGAAAAAAAAGAATCATTCCTCAACAGTAGATACCCAAATACTACAGATCTGAAGAGACTCAGGGCTTTAAATTATATTGGTATGTATCCTATAAATCAATAATAAAAAATAACGTATACACTAAACGCTCCTGTAAAAAAAAACTTCATGTAAGAAGCTGATTGGTTGCGTTTTTTAAGGTACATTCAACCATATTTATATGCGTTTAATCTCACTTATTTAAAATAGTGGGGCAACTTTTTTTAGACTAAAGTTGGTCATAATTTAACACTTGACAAAACGAAACAAAATCAGCAATATGCTGTCACAGCATTTTTCCCCCCCAGAGGCACGCACCTGGCGCATTAAAATAAATATGAAAATAGCATTAGGTTTGTACGAAGAAAAAAAAAATGTTATTTTGGCAAGTCGGAAATCAAAGATGGCTGTGAGGGTCATGGTATAGGGTCTTCTGCGGCCGCGACCTCAAGGCACAGTTATATATATATAAAAAAAAAATCAAACGTTTAATAACCTAAAACTAAGACCCAAACGACTACCCGTTCATCATAAAACGCAATTAAAGAGATTTATCAGTAAAGTCCAAATATACCCAATGTGCCGGTTGGATTCTCTTTCAAGTTTTGACCAGCGTCCATCACGAACAAGTTTCAATGAGATCAATAGCCACGCCAAAAGCACACAGGGGCGAATCGCATCTAATGGTCAGCGTGAGTTAAAATACGTAAAGCTAGTCTAAAGCCTAAAGAGAAAAAGAGAAAAAAAGCGAGCTCTTAAAGTTAGAAATGGAATCGGTGCATATTGTGGAAAAAAAGTAACAGATAACAGCATGCACTGGTCAGCAATAGGCAACTCCTTTCTCTCCGGCCATCTCATATTCTGTTGCAGCCTATTGATCACTCTCCGATTACCGTTTGTTAAACTAATGTTTCTATTTATAACTTAACCCAAGTCAAAGGTTTTAAAAAAATCATAATAAGCAGCAAAACGTATCAACTGTGCAATGAGATTGATCATGCCGAACAATTTCTTTCCCCCGTCAAAATTAAGAGATTCTTTAGTAAAGCGCACGGTCAGTTCCAAGGGTCACGATCCTGGCCAAAGTGCAACCAAAAGTGGGAAAAACAGTAAAAAAAAAATAAAAATCTACTTTCCACTAGTTGATTAAACTCCAAACAGCTTCAGTTCGCACAGTTCCGCCGACCCAACTCACCATTTTCCGCCGAACCGGTCTCCTCGGAGTTGATGTGTTGCGGCTTGGCTTGCTTGCGCCTCGACATGGTACCACCATCGGGAGCAAAATAGTAACAATATTTTTTTCCCTTCTTTACAACAAATTCTCAGAGTTGGGAAATTAGCCCTTCAAGTAGAAATGCGCATGTCAGAGTAATTATGATTATCAATAATGCATTGCGATTTATCATGGGTCTCTGACAGCTGATTGGCTCCAATCCAAGTGCTTACAGATTATTCAAATAAGACCCATTGATGAGAAACGCAGAGTGCAAAAAGGGGGAGGGAGATGAGAGAGAGAGGTAGGGGCAGAGAGAACATGCATCGAGCAGAGGGAGCGAGAGAGTGAGAAATTGTACAGCATCCAGGGAAACACTAACACAGATTCACCCTGCTTTGGGACTATGGGAACTGTAGTTTGTTTTTTGTTTGTGGAGGGGGAGAGTTCTTTTTCTTTCATTTTCTGACCGGACCGGACTACTTCCCATCGCCCACACGCGTAAAACCGTGACATAAAGGACTTTTTTTTTAATGCAAGCAGCTGGATGAATTAGAATCACCTCCAGCAAAAGCAGCCCGAGCAAACGGATTGTTATCTAAACAATGCGCGTGTTATCCAAAATAAAATTCTCGAAAGTTTGCATCTTACTGTAACTGTTACATACAGTCATTTCAACACAAAACACGTTTTCGCCTTTTCCATCACGTCCTTGAATTTCCAAACCTGTCTAGAATCAGTTCATTATTAAATTATTAAATATCCTTTTTTTGTGTGTTTATATGTAGCTTCTAAAAGCGCGCCTCTACTTTTTTTCCCTCCTCGAATTCGGGTTTGGCATTAAAAGCGTTGTAGCATGAAAAAAGACAAATCTATGAGTTTTTTTTTTACTATATGTAGAATAAAATAAGTAGTATAAAAATGTTCACATATATTATAAATGTCCTGCGATGAGTTGCCCTCCCACTAAGAATGTATCCAGTTTCCAGCCTTGAGCTAATTATCTAAACGGGTTAGGCTCTGGCTCATAACAACTATGTATTGGACTGAGCTGTTATTGAAGATAGATAAATGCAAGTCGTTGATTCACTCACTTTATTGCCGAGGGAACCCAAATTAAAAGTTAAACATAGGATAATTTAATCAAGATTAAAGCGTCGTTTCAAGCGTCTTTTTTAAAACTGCATGTGGCTTAAGTCCTGGGTGGGGCACTGGCGCCCCTCATATTGTTAATGACCAATAGACCTCTATAGAAATATCCCAAGTTTTCTATGCAGAAGTAAGACATTTCTATAGAGGTTATGTTTGTAAGAGGTTGCATTCTTGAACAAGGTTGTCCACTCAGATGTTTCAGTGAAATATTTAACTATATACAATACAAAATGGTTAGAAAAGTGATAGAGTCAGCTAAATAAATTAATTGAGGTTTGTAGTAGAAAATATACAGCACAATGGACAATTACGGCACGATTATAAGATATCTTATATTTTTGCTGGGCTATCTAAACTCAAATCAGTCTGAAGTTTTGGTAAATTATTCGTTGTTATTGAGCATTCTGCCTAAGCCTGTGAATATTTGTGTCCTTTAAAATAAAATTGCAATACTTGCTGTGATGCTGAGTTCTTAAGATTTCCATGGTATAATGTGCTGTAGGCTGTATGTGGCAAGTATTCCTTCAAACAGGTTGTTTACATAACAGTGTGTAATTACTGTGCGGCACTTTTTTTATTTTTTACATCTATTTTCCCTATGTTCCTTTGTCATATATTAGTATTTGTATTTTCAGTGTAAATCAACCAATTTCAGAATTCCGATGTCTTCAATATTTCTTAGCAGACACATATATTTGCTGATATTGACCTCTCCAGCAAGCCCACCTAATTTCCTCAATGTCTGAAACACAGCAAGCACAACATTCAGAATTTCTCAAATCGTTATCCAGGTACTGGATATTTCTGAATTCAAAGCATTGACCAAAAAGCTGATTTTTCACTCACTGTGCAGTTGAAATATGAACTATAACCTGGTTTATATAAAAGAGACTGACAGCATATCTTGAGTTTTTGGAATGGATGGAAATATTTTCTGTTTTAACAACAACTGCTACTGTTATTTCCATGGAGAAGTTGATTTAAAACACAATAAAAGCAGTTAGCCAATGAAACTGCAGTCTAGGCAGTTGAAAAAGGAAATATACCATTTTCTAATGCAGGTGAGGAGCCAACTGTTAAAGTGTCCAAGGCAAATTACGTGCTATATTACTCTTTGCTTCCTAAGAAAATGTATGAAAAGCTTTTTTAACATGATGACTTTCATATCAGCAGACAGACAGTCTTTCATCTTTATGCCCTTCTTTTGTAGTTAGATTTTCATTAAGCCTTTTTCAAAGAGAATTATTTTTCTCAATTGACATGTATTCTTTGCCTGATAGTTTTGTCAAGATTCCACCTTTTGGTTAAAAGATGTGAATGATAAAGACTACAATATTGAACAACATCTCTTCCATAGTCCATACTGTAATTTACAGTACATGTATGTAAATTGTAATTCAATTTCCTTCATTAAATGTTTTGTTTCTCCCTGAAACTACAACAATAATTACAATGACTGAAGTAATTTTACCATGTTTAAAACAATTGCTGTTATGTTTGTACGTGTTTATGTTTGAAACTATTGTCTAATGACATTGATAGTTTTAGAGGTTTGCATAAGATTAGACATATTTAATTATTCTAAATTAAGGTACCCTTTCTGTTTGGAATTGTACAGGAACGCCAAATTTACTTGTATGAAAGAAACTGAGTAGTTCTGAGCAAGGAGAACTGGGGATCAGTGTGTGTTCTCCGAAGCTTCTCCACATTGTTTCTGAAAAGTGAATCTGAGTCTATTTATCAAGACTGGAAGTAGCTCATTCACAAAAAATAATCTGTGTATACTGTTTGGTTTCTGCAAAAATCTCCTGCATATTTCCCTGTAAAGTTGCAGTTTCATTTCAAAAGAAGATATTTGTAGACATAAACTGTCATATTGATGTCATACTGATGTAATCAGGTGGACTTCACAGCCTTTGACAGACTCTATTAGAATTAATGTGATTAAGAGAAATTTGCAGATAAAGGTTTTAATTTTTATGTTTTATATTACACCCAGTCAACATTTGATGTTTTTACATGATAATTGCACCAAGTACAAACCTTTCATGAATGCATGAAAGTTGGAACAATGAAAGGTATTTGACTGCATTTTGATACCAAATCCCACGATCTTCTTTCCTAGATATTCAATCGTCCTGGTATCTGTGTTCCATTGATCGATTTAACTCTAAAGTTGGCGGTGTCAATTATAGCAAAGTAGTATCTAATGCAAACTGTCCTGCATCTATAACTCACTATTACCCCAGATGGATCTACTTCCAAGCCTCGATGCTCATTCATTTTCTAATTATGCTGAGGTTTTGGCCATTGTGACCTAACTATACAGAGGTGTATGCTTCCAGCTATTGACTGGTTAATGTTTGCGACTGTACTATGCCCCTGTGCACTCAATTCAAAACCACTGATGTCCAGAGCTCTTCCAAAGGTTCACTACTGAATTGCCCATGCCCCTGAGTCTAACGATGTTAGACTATAATGATAATTCCTATCTTCCTTTTGGGTCTGCAACAATTGTGTCCACAGGTTTTTTGACAACACTGATTCAATTATAACCATTAACCATTAAAAGTTGAAGGAAGGAAGAGTAAGGGAAAGACAATATCAAAAATGTTTTGAATCTTTCTTAAAATCATTTCAAAGTATTACAGTTATTCCTTTGCAAATTAGGTCAATTATGTGGTGTAGAATAAGAAATCCAGTCAACTCTTACTGTGAAAATATTAAGACTCTGTACACGCAAGTGTTGAATTTCAATGGTCTCTCTTCAATCAGTTTGATATTGTATGCTCTTACAGGTAAAAAAAGAAGGTCCTTTTTAGGCAATTACTTCATCCGTCACATGAAAACAAAGAACAACAAGGGAATCTGCCCACTGTTGCTAATTATTGCTCTTATTGCTCTTATTAGGCAGTTTTAAGTGAAACAAGGCATAAGAACATAAGAATGGTTACAAATGAGATGAGGCCATTTGACCAATCCAGCTGGTCTGATAATAGTTAATTGAACCAGTGATCCCAGTTTCTTGAAAACTGGATATTGGCTTCAGCATCGTGGCTGGGGAGTTTGTTCCAATGAAAATGTCTCTACATAGAAATGTTTTAAGGTAGTTGACCTTAAAGATATTTCTGTTCATTTTACATATACTTGCCTCGCTTTTGTTTCGTACATTTTATTATGTATTGACTCCACTTTACTTTATCAGACTATAATGATAACACTATTTATACAAAACAGTATTCCAGTGGTACTGCACAAGTCTTGTAAGAAAAGGTCATGAGATGCAAGTGAATCATTTGCAGATATGCTATTTTGAGGGGGAGTGAGTTACAGTAGACTGGCAGAGGGAGTGGTAGACAGGGACGGACACTTTGAATTCCAAAACAAGAGGTCATGGGTTCAAGATAGAAGATAACCTGTGCTTTGCTAAAGACCCCTTGGTGGTTGGTGGAGTATTTGTTGTCTTATAAATTGACTTTATAAAGTTGTCATAAATACCATAGTAAAAGAACAGAAAAGTGCACCAAAGCACAGCGAAATCACAGTAACTAAGTGGTGCAGTAAAACATGATATAATGGAAAACATGGTGGAACAGACTGAATGCTTCTTAAAGGCATGGAAGACCACTGGCAAAATGATATAAAACGTGTGGGCCACCACTGCATATATCGGTGTAATTTCTTTCCAAATGATCCACAGTGGCTTTTGCAGCATTTGGATTGAACCTTGATATTACAGCACAAGTATATTATTTAAATTCAAGAACAAATTACATCGGAGGACAATTTCTCATTGACAGTGAGAGTCTAGAGAGTACCCATGCACTATGCGGGACATTTACTGGAGCAAAGTAAGTGAAGTACCTTAGTCAAGGGTGCAACTGTAGCCTCCCAGCTGGGATCTAAATGTATGAGTCCCTGCGCTAAAGCCCATAGCACTTACAAGTATTCTGCATGGCTCCTGACTGTTGACTAATGTGGATCAGCCTAGCAATAACTCTGGATCGTGTGCCCTAGCTGATAGCTTCCCTTAAAAAAGCTCAAGGAAACTAAAAGCATTTTAAGAATTCTATCTACATTTTGGCAAAAACTAGCACATGCCTTACCTGCAATAAGAAATAAGTGCTTAATAGCTTTTTTTCTCTCAAGCATGTAATCAAGTAAAGGGAAAGCC